TTGTTGTCTTGAGCATTATGTAGATATTTGCTATTATAAGCTTGAAGCTTGATATTATGTCGAAATCTATAGTTGAGACCGTTCATATCCTTTCCATTCAGACTCTTAGCATAACCAAGTCAAAAAGTCAAAAATTCTTAGCTCTGATTATTCTTTTTCATTTGCTGTGTATTCAATCGTAAAGGAAAGTGATATTAATTCTTTAATTGGACTTATGTAAACTTTTAAATATTACTTCGACATCTTAATCTTACTAATATAATGAAGTACTGTTTTATTTGTATTAATATTAAACGAAGTTAGGGAAGTCATTGGCTCCTTTAATACTTATAAAAATTGACAAAAAAATATATTTGAAATGAATTTGTCAAATTATATAAGAACTGTAATATTGTGTTTTAAATAAATAAATACATAAATATTAATAAATAAATAAATTATAAATGCGATTATAAATTGGAATTATAAATTGGATGGTTGGATTGTTAGAGTTTGTAGCCTAAACTGTTTAACGGATCTCAATGAAATTTGGCACAAATGTAGAGGTCAGTCTGAAAGAACACATAGGGTACTAACTATTGTTTTTTTTTTAATTCCACGCGGTCAGAGTCGCGGGATACAGCTAGTTTTATATAAACTTAATTGCTTATTTGACTCTCTGACTAAATCGTCTTAAATATAAATACAATCATAGTTACAAAGTCTATAGGTTTCAATGATTTGTGAACGTTTCCAAATTGACTAATTGGCTGGTAGGAAAGGAGCCCGAATTAAATCCATTCGAAGCTTCGAACTGATTAATGAGGCATTCAATTTAAAGGTGATTTAATGAAGCCGTGAATAATTTACATTGAACGATTTACACTGTGAATAAAACAAATGATAAATATCAAATAAAATTTAGAAAAATAGTTTTATTATTTTTCACTTTCGCCTCGACTCCGTCCGGGTGGAATTAAAAAACCAAAAGTGAGTAGTCCATGTGTTCTTCCAGACTATCTTCTACATCTTTACCAAATTTAAAATCCAAATTCATGCATCCATCTAAACATTTGTATTTTTAATATTAGTAAGATTGTTTAGAACACGGATTTTTATACGGATATGTTACTATTTTTGCTTAATAACTCGGACATATTTCGAACGGTATTTTGCCGAACGTATACGACCTAACAGTTGGAGCACGCGCACATGTTTAAATAAATTATCGCAGAACTGTTTAGTCTCGCATTGATTCAAATGATCGTATATGCAGGCGCGCACACTAATCGATTTAGCTGTGCAACTAAGCAGTTGAATTGGATAGGAAATAATCGACAATCGTATTCCAGTTGTGCGATAGTTTAGTCCAAGGTGTGCGCCCGCTCTTAATCAGAAACGTAGTTTGTTTCTTTAACAGAATGGAACCCTTTTGTAAAGCAATGTACGCGTTTGACAGACAATTTCGAATTTAGAACGATATTTCTTTTTTTATTACTTTCGCATTCCGAACTGCCACAATAAATTGGAAGTCGTGCAAAGTTTTTAAATTCTTTCCGAGTATTAATGGACGGAATGTTTCGTCAATATTCTTTTCTAGTTATTTAAATGATTGGTACAAAATTATGTTATAACATTTTAAGATCAACACATAAGA